ACAACCTATTTTTTTCTAGCCAATCGGATTTGGCCATTCCATCGTTTCCCAATTTTACATAAGGCTCAATCGTTTGGAATGAATGTAATTTTCGTAATCAGGTGTCTATCATCTTAGCTATTTTATTCAACTGTGGTTTTGATTCATTTACTGTCAATTTACTGCAACCATACAATAATTTACTGCTTTCAGGAAGCATATGATATTCTCGATCAGCACGTCAAATGAGCGCACGAGATGGGAATTCAAAGAATGGAAGATATGATTTTCACAATCGATGCCAAACAACCTCACTAAACCAAAAAGGCGACTACTGCAGTGACTCTCTTCATATTCTGAACCTTTCACGTCAATTATTTTTCTAAACAAAAACCATGGATTTGGTTAACAAGAAAAGGTCCTATGGAGGGAGACTAATTTATGGTAATATGATAAGGTGTGATGCCAAAACTTTCATATTTTAGGATTTCTATTGGCTTGATAAAGACAATATGAACTTATCAAAGACCAACTATTTTATATTGCTGTACTAAGATGGTGATCATATAAGATCTAAGTTATAATCTATTTCTTCTACCCTCACTGCTTTCTCATTCAAACGGATGTAGATTATGCTTCATTAACATACTACATCTTAACAAACTGATCGCTTTATAATAACTTTGTCCGGTAAACCGATAAAAGTCCTCAGATGAAGGAATTACAAATCGGATACGTTTGCGAATTGACTTCCCCTATATAATTCAGCTGTCAGAAACGGGAATGCTTCTAAACGCATGAGCTAGGATTAATCCCTACCTGAGGACAAATGTCATGGTCATGCACCCTAACAAGTGCACCTCCAGAAGTCATATGAAGTATAAACCTTGACATATTTGCAGGATGACATCTATAAAGAAGATGAAACTATTATATGAGAAGATAGTACAGAATCTGCCTATCTTACCTCTGCAATTCTAAGGGTCTAGCGGAATGACTCAACTTCAAAACTGTTCGTACGGTGTTATTGTTTGCCTTCGTGGTGATCTGAAAGCAACCTTTTATTTCTTGTCATTGCTCTTTGCCCTTCTCAGTACTCACCTCCATCCAAAGTTCAAAGAGATTGGGGTCCCTGCATGAGATTTTGGATTTACTGAGGACAGTTTCAATCACGGATCGAGTTGTGCATTGAGTGGAGACCCGAATTGTCTTGTAGTCAGTGCATGCTTTCACATTACTCGTATAAACTCTCAGTGTTCCCTGAAAATCAGGATCAAAGTCTATCATGATCCATTACGCTTGCAGGTATCTTACCCAATCGCCTTCGGAGCTTGCACTATCCGCCGAATTCAGCGATATCGACGAACAACTTCTACTGGTCAGAGTTGTGTCGTGCATAGATGAAGAGGGGCTGCCATAGATGCATGGCCGACTATGAGCCTTCACTTGATACTTTAGCATTGTCTGAAAGGGACAAAGTTACCGCGGGAGGTAGTGCTCTAGCCACGATTGCAACGCTGGAACACAGATTGCAAAAGAATTTTAATAGAACACTAAAACTCTACTTTGGAGAACATAAGTTAGGTACATAAATGAGTGACGTAAACGAACATAGCGAAATACAAAGAGGAAAGAGGCAGCACGACTTAAGTGGCATGACAAACCTTTAGTATTATAAAAACTTAGAAGGGATTTGTATGTTAACGGATGGATGGAAAGTAAAAATGTTCACCGCGCGACGAAAGAAGCATAATTGCCTCAAATGGAACATTAAGAATAAGAACTGCAAGTAAATGCAAGACATCCTGTG